TTAATACTGGTTAACATTACAAAAAAATAGCATGGCGTTCTCTCTCTCTCTCTCTCTCTCTCTCTCTCTCTCACACACACACACACACACACACACTCCTTAGATTTTAATAGGTGAAACTATTTCAGAAATATTTTGGGGTGAATTTGCATAACAATTAGATTAAATGGAATTGTTTCTGGTTGTTATATTCTAAGAAGTCTGACTATTTTCTCAGCATGTTATATGAATCATGCGCTCCCACTAACCCAATTTGTTTTGATGTAGCATCAAATGAAAATCCAGTTGTGCATTTTTAATTTGGGTTTAGAGTTAAGTGTGCTCTACAAATCCAGTCTTTAAGTGTTTGAAATGATATGCATGTTCAACTATAAAAATGTTTTAGTAGCTATCAAGTAACTTCGAGTCCTTGATGCTCTCTGAGCTAGGCAGTTTCCTTGCAGTGGTTTCATTGCCAAACTAGGTAATGTACCTGGACTGATGATGTTACCTGTTTGGTAATGAAACATCTGCAAGGAAATCACCTAGCTCTGAGAATACCAAGTATCCCACAGTTCATCCCTGAAGTTACAAATATTTTCTTCTACCAGTGTCTACTCTTTACAGGGACAATTTATAATTCACTGAAACAAAATAATTTTTTTTACTCTCTCTCTCTCCCTCTCCCCCTCTCCCTCTCTGTCTTCAGATTCCTGCATTATGTAGAACAAATTCTCTAAAATCTCCTATGGTGGAAAAACATAAATTATTGATGCCCGCCAAAGTTAGTGGCTTAAGCAAGAAAATAACAAGTATAAAGAAAAAACATCATGATACTGAAAACAAGTCAGGACAGCAAGTGAAAATTAATGATCTCTGGAAGAGCTTCCAGTTCAAAAGGTGAATCTCTTTGAATCTAAATGTTTATTTGTTTTATTTTAATCTTCTGTGGAGAAAGGGAAGTATTGGTGAAACAATACATGGTCCCAAAACATGGCATTAGCTTAATGACTTTTCAACAGAACAGTGCATTTACAATCCATAAAGTAACCATTTGAATCCCCACAGAATTAAGTTTGTCTGTTGATGGAGGCTGCCAAGAGTGGTTCACATTTGAAAAGGGGGAGGGGGGGATAAATATTTAAAAGAATTCATTTTACCTCTAATTTTAGGAATATTTGTTGAATTCCATCCTCTTTAAATGATTAGGAATAAAATATATTCCAAGGAAACTTTTATCTCCTGTGGTTGTAGCTGTCATGCTTGGAAGGCATGTTTGTATGAGGCCTCAAGCCTGCCACATATTCAAACATTCCCAGAGAGTCAAGGCCATCTTGCCCCTGCACCTGGACAGATGTGGATGAGTGGAACTGCCAGCATTGCAGTGGGTGATTGGACCATGTGATGGACTTGTGGTGTGGTGGCAAGATCTTGAACTTTCAACTGGGTGGGGAAAACCTGGAAGTTTCAGATTCGGGTTTTCCCAGATGTGCCAACATGGCTCTTCTAATAAATTGGAACTTTGAGGAATCTCTAGCCTCGGACTCTTACTGGATTGGCGATGCTATTTAGAACCCTGACATTAGCTTTATTAACTGCATAATTCTTCCACTGGCTTAATATTTGCATTTATCTACAGATAATTGATTTAACTCTGGTTTCTTTATATATCTCTTTACTCATAACAAAATATACATGTTCTAAGGGTTATTTTTAAGGTCAGAGCAAGACCAAACTATCAGTTATCTTCTTATCGATTCATCTTCTATGTCTGCTAAAGTATTATTTTTTTCTATCTCAGAAGCAGTTTTTAGAAACAAGTTTTCATTCTCTAGCTTCATTATTTTCCCATAAAGCAGTTTCTCCTTGACTTTGCTGTACCTCCTGCTGCTGGGGAATAAAAAGCTTGTAGCTTCTTCAGACAAAAGCAGTGTATCCTCTTCCCATCTTGGGTAACTGACTTTGGCAGGACTTATTTTCCAAAAGTAACGGAGAGAAAGAGAAAAATTCATCCATCCAGTTGATTTAATTGGTATGCAGTAAAAATGTAGCCCCAAGGAGACTGACAATAAATTCAATTCACTTTAAACTTTGTTAATACTCATCTTTACCACTATTAACCATACTTTTTTTTTCTTATAGGGAATCAGAAATACTACCTTCCTGTAGAAAATCAAAACCATTGTCTCCAATTAAAGATAATAACCAACTCCCTCCAGACACATTTGATGAAACTTTTGATAACTGCAATGGAAAATATTTTAGTGAAGTGGTACTGCAGACCTGAGCAATTCTGTAATCCCTGTTCAATTTCTGTAAGAATTTAGATTACTTCTGGACACGAAAAAAGCAAAGTAACACTTGTACATATATATAGATATATAGACTACAGCTAACATTATCAACTTCTGTTTTGAAAGAAGCAAAATGAAACAATATTATGCTTTTTGCTGCATTGAATAAAATCTTTTGATACAAACAGATTGCTTGATTATATAATGTATACGAATGCAAGAAAACTTTTGGAAAAAAGTCAGCAAATTGAACAATGAATAATTTAGATTACAAAAGATCATGTTAAATCTCTGCAACAAAGTGGGTCCAGATAATTCATTAAAGGAAGTAAAATCTGAAAAGTTAGGAAAACAGGTATTATATTTAAATATATAAATTATATTTTATAATTAAAATTTATTACGCTCAATTTCATACAACCATAATCAAGGGGGGGATGATAGTGGATTACAAAGACGTCCTTGAATGGTGGCAATTCTTTAAAATATCTAAATATATGCATGCGTACTCTAAAATTGAAGGAAGTGCTTCCCTCTTGTAACTCCGCCGAAACTCATTATTTTCCTAGCAGTACTCATCACCCAGATTTCTTATTAGAACAATGAATGTTTCACGTAAAAGGCACTTAAAATGCAATTACAGTACATGTCCAAGTTGTAGAGAGGGAATTGGTGGTCAAAATTAATTTGATTGTATTGGTTTGAATACACTGAGGGTTTAAAACACAGAATTTGGATTTAAGATAGTTTCACTTCTGGTCCAAACTACTTGGGCATTAGACAAAGCCTGCAACAAAATACAACCCGTAGGCTGTGTGTGATCTGCCAAGCAGCAGTCTGAGGTCCATTTTGAAAAATAATCTACTACCACCAAATGCCACCATCAGGAAAGATTCATTGCCACGTGTGTTTTCCCAGTCACTTTCATCTTTAGAGACAAGCATCTCAACACCTCCAGGCTTCACAGATACTGCCAGCTCCAATATTGCCCTGCACTTCTTAGTACCAAATAGCTGACTGGCATGCCACGTATTTCTTGTGGTCCACAATTGTATTTCTGTTATCAAGCTTGACCTTATAATAAATAATATGCTGTAATGCAAGTAATTTGTTGTCAAGCTTGTTGTTCATAAGATCAATTTAGTTTGTGGTATCTGATTTAGTGTTTAATTGTTTTTTGAGATGTCTAGGCCATTAGAGTTGGGTGGCCAATGCATTTAAATAAATAGAAATAAAGTTTCTACAAAAGTTGTGCAGGCATATACTGGACTCTTGCTTTCATTCTCCCTATGTGAACAATAAACAGTAACGATGATAGCTAGAGTGTTGCACGTTTGTTGAGTGCAGTTTGGGGCATTTTCAGCCAGATCGTCTGGGTCTATTCTGCAGACCAGGCAATCACCTTGTGGCAGCCTTCTCACGCCCTCTGGACTCACTTTTGCTGGACAACAGATCTACTGAAGGCAGCCTGCCTCATCTGGATCAAGGGACTGTGCTGCTCTAGGTGCTATTGAGGGCACATTTCTGATATTTGGATTGAAGTAAAAAGTAAACATGAGTTTGGTAGCCTTTGTTTTTGGCTACCAAAAGTCTTGGCCTGGCTCTCCTCAGTTCTGTGCCAACTTATCCATGATGCTTACTGACAGCTTAGTTCAGGTAAGCAGGTATGGATTGTGACCAGATTAATGTTGGACTAGCAACTTTGGACTTGGATGTCATGTGGAGGTGTAATGTGGCATTGTTGCTTTTGTAGCTTGCCCAACCCTAGTTAAAACCATGGTTTCACAGGATGTGTGCATGCAATCTCACTTGTTTTCCAGGATGGTCATTCAGGACAGACGAGGCAAGTATCAGAAAATAAGCATATTGAGAGGGGAGAGCTGTTGCATATAAAATAACTATTGCTTTTTAGAAATATTTATATTTCTCGTGGTTTGTTTCAGCGCATCTGTTTCCATCTCAAAGGTCTTTCAAACTGCCAATTGGTACTCAAGGCAAAAATGTGGGCCTGTTGTTTCTGGAAAACCTCCTTATCATGGAGCATGGACTGAGGTAACTGCAACAAACCTCGCACATTTGAAGAGCAACTGCTTTCACGGGACAGATGAGGTTGCTAAGCAACTGGCAGATTGGCTAATGGGTCTACAGCTTAATCACAGTTCATCTGGAGCGTGAGATGTCTAATGTGTCAGAGGCTCAAGGCTTCAAAATCTAAATTAATATTTGTGTTGGATTGAAAGGAGGTTCACGGAGGTTAGCTGCGATGAACACATCCATCTTTTCAGAAAGCAATGCCTATGATATAATTTGAAGGGGTCCCGTGGCTCAGTGCTGAATTGCTTTTGGTTTCCTGTGTCTGACATATGGTCTACTGACACTATATTTCTTTCAGCAGAAGGATGAAAGAGGACCACTTTACTGTACATAGAATGGATGATCTGACTCAAACAGCTGCCTTAGTTCAATACAAAATCAATATTATCTAATTAAGAATATTAAAGGGGTGGGTGAGAATTATTCTGGTCGGAGTTCCATTTTCAGAATTCAGTGGCTACTGAGCATGCTCAGTCCTTATTTGTCTTTATGATTTTTATTTTTTAGTTAAAGTAAATTCCTCTAAAAACTTGTACTTTTCTAAATATGGGATCTCCAAAATGGATATCCTCCTCATACCAGTGGATCAATTGTTTGGCTATGTAAACTATTACTTATGGTTCTATCACTAGAGTCTATTTCTAAATGGTTATAGAAATGTCAAGAACTGCGCAAATGCCATTTTAAAGAAAATACGTACTGTATAAGATGAATCTACCCATAAAAATTAAGACTGTACACATTTGAAAAAGCTAGGTTGAGCGAAGCACTGCTTTTTGAAATGTTAAATGTGTCCTTTGAAGGGTTTGTTGGCTGGACAATCAACTGTCAGATGTCTGTTGGTTGACTAAAACAACACTTGATTGCTGTACTGGCTGCCTGCACTTATATGCACATGCAGAGATGCCTCATTTCTCTGGAAATCTCAATAGAAATATTGGTTGTACATATCATACGCACATATAGAATGAGGAGGCAACTTCAGACCAACTGCACAAGCTTTTCAAAGGATGTGGTTATGATTCACGTTAATACATTTTGTTTTGCTTTGCATGTCTTAATAAATGTATAGATTCTGCCCTATTATTTCACCAATTTAATGCTCAAGATAATATAATCTATGGTATTTTGCATAGTTTCTCTGACCTCTTTTAGAATGAGAGATATGTTATACTTTAAATTTGCAATTTTCTGCCTAAGGATAAAACTAATATTAGAAAGTGCACCAAATTTAATTTGAAAATCATTGACAACGATATTCCAAATATCTGTCTTTCCCAGCACTCTAAGATGGTGCCAGGGACCAAACCCGGATCTTTGGCATATAATACAAATGCAATATAAGTGTACTACTTTGGAATAAACAGTTTTAAAATTACTGCTATGCAGTCTAATTCAACTGTTCAGAATAGAATAGAATAGAATAGAATTCTTTATTGGCCAAGTGTGATTGGACACACAAGAAATTTGTCTTTGGTGCTCTCAGCGTACATAAAAGAAAAAAAAATACATTCATCAAGAATCATATAACACTTAGTAATGACTTAACTAGAAAGAGAAGCAAGATCATGGTATTTGTTCTTTGCTTGAGGACAGTCCCTAGTCAGTTAGCAGCTCTTCATTATAATACCCTTTTAAAATTTCAGAATTTACTGAAAAGGCTTCAAAAAATTTATCAGTGACAATGTTCAGAAAACTAAAACTAAATAGCATAGGAGTGTCAGTAGCCTTGCAGAACTGCTGAAAACATCTGGACTGTGCTATCAGCTTGCTCAGGGTATTGCAAATAAAAGACCTATCCACTGTAAACAGTGGAATAGTACTAGACAAGTATTTAAATAGTTAGCTGAAAATAGATTAGATACCTTGCTCATAAACTTGCGGTATAAGCAGTTTGCATGACAACTTGCTTTGCTTCATATGCCTTTGGAAAAATTATCCTATCATTATTTTGATTTTTTTTAAGTTGCTGAAATCAATTTTATGTAATGCATAAGTCTGATAAAAACATATAAGATGTGTTGGTAGAGTGTTTTCAGTCCTAAATAGGTTTCCCTGAGCATATAACTAATTTCAGTCTGTTGACTGAAATCCATTAAAGGTAGATTTCAAAAATAAATGCTAGCTTTTAAGATACTACGTGAGGGGTTTGTTGTTGTTTTTGGCCTCTATATACCAGCTCCTCAGTACTAGGTAACATACATCTGATTGGTATGTTTAATTAAGTGTAACTTATATTGAAATCGTAAGGATGGTTGTTGACTGATTCTCTGGTTTAGAGTGATTGTTATTCCACTAGCAAAAGTATTCAGAAAATTCTTGCTTGCAGAAAACATTTCTTATTTACTGCAGTTTTTATGGCAACCTTTTCAGAAAAGCTCCCAATTCTACAGAGAAGATTTCTGAGTAACATAGGAAAGAGAATCAGAAACAATGATATTCTCCCATTTACCCACTGGGAAAGCACTATTGGATTATAAACTTCATCGTGGCAAAGGTTGGCTTGTAGAATGCATGCCTTTGTCTTATGCTTTGAACCAAATGTTTAGGTATCTTGGTATTAGAATTAATTTGAAAAATACTAATAGGAATCACCATTCAGTTACTGAAATTCAAAGGAATGTCATCAGCTTATCACAACCCTGGTAGATACCACTTTTTCTTCCACCTATGCATGCATATATACCGTAGAACTGTGCATATTGTAAAAATGATTCTAAAGAGGTGCTTTAAAATGTGAAGGACCATAACTGGGATAGCATTTTAGGGCAGCCACATCTTTTTTCAGGCTCATGTAGACTCCTGAAAAAAGCCATAGCTACTTTAGAGATGCTGTACTCACACTTCTACACAGACCAAAACACTCTTCTAAATCATTTTTACTTTTATTCATTCACAG